GCAGTACATTTTTTTTGTAGTTTCCATCACCTCATCATGAGCTCAGGCTGGGTCAGCATGATCTGGGCCAGGTTCATTTCTGAGGCGTAGCCACTCGCGTCGCACTGACTGTCTGTGTTGCCCGTCGTAGGTCCACAACTGACATTTTGGTCCGTTATCGGATTCCTTGTTAGCAATTCGTCAGAAGCTAAAATTGTTTCTGTGCTGCCTCGAAGTTGAAGAGATATTCTGACTGTCTTGCACCATTGCATGACCTGGTTTGCCGTGGAAGACGTTCTATTGGGAGCGTGAAGGATTTCCCATTGTGATTGGCGAGCGTCCTTATCGTCGCACCGCAAAGCAGGTGAGCACCCCTCCGTTCTCGCATCGACGGAAGAATACGGGATTCTCCGAGTCACTATCAATGCAGCAGCGGCAAGGAGCAGGCATGTAGGACAAAGCTGGTTCGTCTGCTTGCTCGGCTTGGTCCGTAAGAACGGCCCGTGAAGAGCGGGTGCTGAAGCCTGGCAAAATGCCTCGTTCCGATGCCTATTGCGCATGGGCCTTCCTTCTTCTGGCTTTGTTGACGGTGAGCACCTGAAACTCGAACACTTCATTGTTTTGCTTCGCATGGCTAGAATGAAGTACCTGTTGAAAATAAAGTGTTTTCTTCTGTTGTAAGAAACGAGGCTTGCACGATGCATGTGATTCGTTCAAGTGGCTTTTGACCAAATAATTGGGTGAATTCGTATCTTGTTTTGAAGGCTTGAATGGAGGAGACTCAGTTGAGGCCATACCACTTTTGTATTGTGCGAACTGCTGCTCAATGAAATCCGGGTTTCGTAGATCTACGTCAGCTAGAGTCAGTCCTGCGAACGCTGAGGTCTGCACTGGTTTACCTTTTCATAAGCCGAACTTCATTGAGCAGTTGCATAGTTTCTTCGAAGGAAGTATTACTTATGAGAAGCTGCCACCTACGTTTGTGTGATATTGGTTCGAAAGGAGACTTAGAGATACAAGCCAGAATTATGGAAGTCAGCGGGGAGGGGGGAGGGGGGGGGAGGGGGGGGAGAGAGAGAAGGCAAGAGGAAGGAGGATGCAGAAACTTAGTAGTTTTCTGTAGTTGGGGCGGGGAGAATGCTTGTAATGGCTCTAAGGCCATGAGGAGAGAGATGGGAATGGACGTGCTTCTCTGAAGTGAGCTCATCCTTTCAAAAGGCTTTTCCCGACCACCGTTATGTGGAGAAGTGGGCATGAATGGAAGACTTGCCATTCTCCAAAAAATGCTTTCCATGTCCCGAGTTTCATTATGGTCAAGCAGCGGTAGACGAGCTGACTGCTGTGACATAATCGTCAAATGTACATGTGGTTATGTACTTGACAAAGTATTGTCGATGCATATGCGGTAGGGGTGAAACGAGTATCTATTTTGACCAATCGATCACTCGTTCATAATATTCGATCGAGTATCCGATTATTTCGAGTATTTTATCAAAATTCAAAAGCGCTAGATTTGCGAGTTCTCGACCAATTCGGAAGAAATTATCTGTGAACATAGAACAAAAGTCGCCAACGTCTTGGACAGAGTGTAAAGTAACGATTTTCATCAGTACTTTCATATCTCAGAACGTTACATGCCGTGGTGATCGCATCGTCCAAGTCTTAAAAAATACTGACTCAAAGCCATGCATAACGCATGCATACCAGTGGACCAGCGGTACAACAAAAGTTTTAAAAAAACAGTAATGCCAATACTAAAAAAAAAAAAAAAAAAAACGATCGAGTGCAAAATTTCGAATACTCGCTCGTTTGAAATTTTCGAACGAATACTCGAATATTCGAACTAATCGTTTCACCCCTAATATGCGGAAAAAGAGAGAGAGCAGCAGCAGCAGCAGGAGGAATGCAAGAGAGAACAAGAGGAACGGAGGGAGGGAGGGAGGAGGAAGAGAGAGAGAGAGAGAGAGAGAGAGAGAGAGAGAGAGAGAGAGAGAGAGAGAGAGAGAGAGAGAGAGAGAGAGAGAGAGAGAGAGAGAGAGAGAGAGAGAGAGAGAGAGAGAGAGAGAGAGAGAGAGAGAGAGAGAGAGGAGAGAGAGAGAGAGAGAGAGACGGGGGGGGGGGAGAAAGAGATGTGTACTGGACACTGGCCTAACCCTGGGCCAAGTAATTGCTATCACACGGTTTGATTAGTGGTAGAACACTACTGGCCATAAGTGACGGTCCCTGGTTCAAGTCCTGGTAATGACAGTCAATTTTCTTCTAAAGACGTTTCCAATTTTCAACCCCGTCAACCTTATGACTGTGTGTATACTTGTGCAGTCACTGTTCTAAAGTCATTTCCATACCCTGTGTACATGACAGATACATTGTAACCCACTCTGTTGTTGTGTGTGTGTGTGTGTGTGTGTGTGTGTGTGTGTGTGTGTGTGTGTGTGTGTGTGTGTGTGTGTCTGTTTGTTTTGTGTATATGCATCTACACATGTGTGTATATTATAATAATTATGTACATGTGATTGCATGACTATGTGGTGTCTGTTCCAGCTGGCACATCCGGCCACAAACGCACCAGTTGAATTGCAGCATGGAGCAGCACTACAGCCGCATAAGGATGAGGCGGCAGTGAGATTTCACCCATGGATCATAGCTGCTATGGCGGCATGCAGTATAGTACTGGCTGTGCTCATTCTTGCCATGTGTGGTGGTCGAAGCAGGTAAGCATAGCCGGGTATGCCACAAAGATTGGAGCGAAGTCTACAAAGTTGAGTCACACATTTCAGGTCTGGCCCGCACTATTCTTTCTAACGCAGTTTACAGAACTCTAGATAGCTATGTACTGTGAAAGCACAATTGAACTTGACATACGGTGTCGTAGACTCCGAGCTAGGTCCGTTCGTATAATACTTTTGATCCACTTCCCCTGGTCATCCCCTGGGCAAGTGCTTGTGAAGAAGCCCGCTCACTGACTGGTTACGGTGCAGCTGAAAAGCACCTGAGGTGTGTGTTGAGCTGTGACTGACTCCATCACCACCCCTCCAAACTACTGCAATGCACAACACTCATACGCAAATCCCTGGCCTTTGGCCATGTGTGTTTTATATTTTCTTTACAAAAGAACACAAACCCGACTCGAGACAAATACCAAGAAAGATAAATTGGAAGGAGGACGAAGTTACGACTAGAACACAGAAGTGGAGTTATAGAGTTTATGAGATTTTATCATCAGTTGAGATGCCTTGGCAAAGCCATGGCATAGTGATGCACCAGTTAAAGCAAAACCGCCGCCTCACGCAGTATGCTTTGCCCCCTCAAGCGAATCTTCTATAGATCGGGCAGGTGGAAGCTTGGGAGGTCAAGCCTGCCTAAAAAGTACACTAGGGACCAAGTACGGTTTCCCGACCTGACTAGGGTAGGCTATACTAGACTTGTCAGTTTGAGCACTCTGGCAAGGTACGTCCGGGCCTGGTTTACATCTGGCTTTGGGCATTATATTTTTCATTGCTATCGGATTCCACCTCATTTTCTCTGTGCTGTGTTGACGAGTTGACAAAGGACGAAACAGTTCTGCCCGCAGATTGAGTAGAGTTTTCACTATAATGTGAAGAGGTGCAGTGGGTACTTGTGCTTTCCTGGATGGCTAGTGCCCGGGTCGTGTTTGCCCGAGGACTTGTGTCATGGCTGATCAACGTAGACATCCTTTGATTGTGCTTTCTTGGCCTCGAATTTCTCATTGTGGATGTTTGTAGAGAAAAGAAACAGATGCGAAACGCAGCCCAAGCAGCTGCAATGGGTAGCTTTGAGACGGAGGGCCCGTACGCCGAGCATGCCGTTATTCAAGGTTAGTCTGCCTTCTTCATTTTGCATGTAATCTTGTGATGTTTGCTGCTGCTGAAGCCATGCATATGTGTGTGTCTGTGTGTGTGTGTGTGTATGTATGTATGTATGTATGTATGTATGTATGTATGTATGTATGTATGTATGTATGTATGTATGTATGTATGTATGTATGTATGTATGTATGTATCGCTCGCCCAGGATCGCAGAGAATGGAGATCAGCATGCAGCACCATCCCTCCGACCGAGCCCGTCACCTTAGACTTCGTTTGCACTTGTGGAAAGCGCTATCGCCGTCGCCAGGACTTGACTCGCCACTGATTCTGCTCGTGACTTGAACACTGTTGGTCCCTTCGGGACCTGCTATCATCTCAGGATGAGCATATTGTATTGTATTGTATGTATTGTATGTGTGTATGTATGTATGTATGTATGTATATGTGAATGTGTGTGTGTATGTGTTTGTGTGTGTTTTGTGAGCATGTTCAGGAATTGTGCCGTGCAGGTCTTTATTTTCATGAATTCTGTTGCTTGACAATCTGGGCAGTGAAATGAATGTGTTGATAAACTGACATTTCCCAGAGTTGCGCTGTCGCTCCTCACACTCTTCCTCCTTACAGGTCATGTTTTTGACATGTGACAGCGCATGTTCGTGTAATGCATGTTCTTGTTTGACATATGTGTGTATGTGTGTGTATGCGCGCGTGTGTGTGTGTGTGTGTATGTGTGTGTTTCTACGGTGTGTTTTGCATTTGTCTGCTGCACAACATTCATGCTGGTACTGCTTGATTCACAGGAAAGGTAAGTTATAAACATCTTACAAACATGGATTCCCCTGCATGGTGTATTCTGTGTTTTCCTACAAGCTCAATTATTTGTCACGCGTTCCCCTTTCAAACCAATCTATCTATTGCCTTGTGCAGCACCTGATCCCTATCAACCTACATCCAACACTTTGGTATTCTATAGGATGCCTTTTTGCCCAGTCGTTCGAATGCAGCAAAACGGTGATGTATATGTAATGTCTCGTACGTTCTTTCAAAAGTTCATGAATGTTGAAAGCAGAAGCATTTGGATTTGATTGCTTTTCGCTCAGTTAGGGTTGCATTATGTTCTTCTCGACATTTCTTGACTTGCAACAGCAGAGAGTAATCAAGTTATGGTGTAATGCATTGTGTTTTTGCAGGCTAAAGAGATTGTATGGTTTGCCGAACAAGGACCAGGGTAAGTTGGCGGTGCCCACCTCGCGAATTTTCCGTTTTTCTTTATCATTTGATATTCGGTAATGGGCCATGGTGGTATGAAGCAGACTTGTCCATTCGCCTTGAACACACACACGCATGCCCCCACACATACACACACACACTTACACGTACACATACCCAAATACACAAGTGCCTGTCCACCTTGTGCGGCTTCAGGAATAGTTCTGTTGTATGGGTTTTTTTTAATCATGGGCCCATATCAAGGTACAGTGAAACCTGTCTAAGACGACCGCTCAAGGGACCTTCACAATGTGGTCTCTGATACCAGGTGGTCTCTTTATCCAGGGTCATTTGACTGGAAATAGCTTCCCTTGGTCTTGGTTGCGGTGGTCTTCTAGGACAGGTGGTCGCCATATCCGAGTGGTCGCTATATCCGAGTGGTCGCCTTGACCGGTTTTACTATACATTAATTGTGGCCACAGAGATCATTGAATAATTGGTAGTTATAACCAATGCTATGCCCTCCGATTGCTATTATTGTAATCATGCAGAGAGTCACACAAGGACAGGCTGGCTGATCTACTCACCAGCAGTCCACCGGATGATCCATGGAGGCCTGATGACATGGGCGGCCGCAAGGTCAGTAGCATGCCCACGTAGAGATTTTTCCCTTGAAGCCAACTGACCCTAAGCAGAACTATGATAGGTCTGTTGTGCACCACAGCATGCTCCATCTGGCAAGTGTCAATACTTTCCTTTAGACATAATTATGAATATTTTTGTTGGGTGTACCGTACTAGCTGTCGAGGGCTATGCCGTGACTGTTTTCGTCTCTGTTTGTGTATAGTAAACCTGTAACTAAAGACCACTGTGACTAGCATGTAGGAACCAGCCTGGTGGTACAGACCACTTTGCCAGGCACGGACGGTCTCACATTCATATTATGGTTGTGCAGTGCGAACCTCTAACTAAGGACCACCTGCCCCTGAAGACGGCTTTCTCTGGCCCCGAGGGGTGGTCGTCAGTTACAGGTTTTACTGTATTTCTGATTGCTTCTCTTGTTCTTGCCTTCTGCAGGCCAGTGTATCCAATATGGAGTTACCAAGTAAGTCTACGGTGCTGGGTTTGGCCCTCCTGATCTGAATTCATCCTTAATCACGGCTTCTGGATTGGCCGGTGGTATTCTAAAGGGCCTGGGCAGCCCATTGCCCAGGATCCATAGGCAACGAAAAGCCAGTCCCAAGGAAGCTCTTGAATTCGCAAGCTCCACTGCAGCCACCATCATATCACCTTCCCTGGACTACTCAGTTAAGATCTCTTTGCTGCAAAAATCCTCTCTATACTGAATAAAAACTCGGATGTTGAGCCAATAGTAATAATTATGTAAAGAGAAAAGGACCGATACAGTCGTGTAAGTTACTAGTTATGAGTAACAGTCCACCAAGGTTACAAGATAATATACAGTCAGATAGTGCGACAACAAGGCACAACACTGACAAGGATATTGAGACATTCGATGACCTGACACCTAGCTCCAACACATCTACGAAGCGCAAACCAACAACCTTCCAACTTGGAAGGCTCGGGCGCGGAAAGTTCCAATGAGGGGAAGGGATGCGCCATGAAGATACTGGATCAAAAATTGTTTGGGCATAGCCCATCATCAGAGTAAAGCAATAAAAGATTTCGAAAACCTACTTGTATACTCAAATTGTTGTTTCCATGCATGCTCATAGACAGCGGGGGAGTTATTCAAAGAAAATGCTAACAGATTTGCCGTTGTATTTTGTGTTTGTCATGTTTGTGTTGATGTATTTCGTGCAGAGAACGCATGGAGCGTTGAGGGTAAGATGGACGAAAAGAGGAAGGATGGAGGGCGAGTCGTTCCTGATGGCGGATCACGTATCGTTGCCGGTGCAAGCCCATTTGAAGGCCTGAAGAAACACCCTGTGGAGGTAAGATGAGAATTGTATGTACGCTGTGTGTATATGTGTGCATGTGTGTGTGTGTATGTGTGTGTGTGTGTGTGTGTGTGTGTGTGTGTGTGTGTGTGTGTGTGTGTGTGTGTGTGTGTGTGTGTGTGTGTATGCATGTGTGCAAAATCTATCAGAAATTTAGTTTCCTTGATGCTGAGTTGACCCGAGTAACAAAAACTAATGTGCTATTCTTCTGTCACACTGTATGCGTTTTTGCAGCATCTTCTCTCAATCACTATGGACCAGGATGATGCAAATCTTTCACCACAGGATGCACTGACTCGAATCAAGGTAAGCAGTCTTTCTGCCAAAAGTGTAACACCTCGTACCCGTGACAGTCAGAATTGACCATTGATGTTTTAAAGAGTTGGTGGACAAGCCGTTGATTATTCACTCTCGTTGTAATATCAAAAAAGCGACGATGTTGTTCAGAACAACGAAACGTCTGGAGAAGTATCGTAAATATTTCTATCGTTATTAAATGTTATCAAATATACCACTCTTTGGTCTAGAAAGAATACTTTTTTGACATTGATGTTTTCATGGCTATGCTTTTTCATCAATTGCAAGATATAGCAATTCAGTAGTCAATGTATATGTAACATAACATTGCACTATATATTTGACTTGAACTGTTGGTCATGAATAATTATGACTTTGTTGTCTATGTTGCCTATGTTGCCTATGCAGAATGAAAGTGCGGCAGGATCACTGTGGACCCAAGAAATGCACCTTATCATCAATGACGATGAGCTGGTGCTTGCCGAGAGGATATCGGAGGTGTGTGTGCGTTTGTGTGTGTGTGTGTATGTGTGTGTGTGTGTGTGTGCGTGCACGCGTGTGTGTGTGTGTATGTGTGTGTTTGTGTGTATGTGTGTGTGTGTGTGTGTGTGTGTGTGCGTGTGTGTGTGTGTGTGTGCGTGTGCATGCATGCATGCGTGCGTGTGCGCGCACGTGTGTGCGTGTGCATGCATGTGTGCGTGTAGTGCTTACTGATAAAGCATGCCCATGGTTGTGATTCATCCTTCTAAAAATGATTGATGCATCTATTTGAGAAGTGTTCATATTGCAGATGTTGTCTCATTTCCCATTACCGTTCAAACGTGAGTGAGAACATAGCCAGTCGTAGGTTTTTCCATGCACAGTAGTAGCAGCGAGTTCACTCAGCCACACATACTGTAGTGCTTCTCTACAACAAGAGAACTAATCAACACCATCCCACTGGGTGCGGAAACAATTCCCACCTCTAATTTGTTCATTGCTGCGTGCTCTGTGCCTGCGCCTACAGGATCGACTCGGTGCACACAGCCTTGCCTCGCTTACCACTTGCCACGAGCTGGAGGGTTTGGACGAGAGCTTCAACAATGTGGTGGTGTTTGTGTCCAACCAGCCGGGTCAGAAGTACCCGATAATGCACGCGTTCCAGCTGGAGGAGGGCAAGGTATGAATGTCATGCGTACATCCCCCAAAAATTGTAAGGCAACTCAGGGTCATCGGGAACACACACACACACACACACACACACACACACACACACACACACACACACACACCTGTCCTGTCCTGTAGAGCCACTGCCACAGGGGTCACGTGGGCCCCGGAGGGGCATCAGAGAGGAAGATGGAGCACGCAGCCTGATGACGCCGGAGATGGTGGGGCAAACGGAACCGGCGAGAACACACGCATACATGGATGAACGAATTACGCTGCTGGGCAGTCGGGCGCGGGCCAGTCCTCGAGCACCGGTGACGACCGCGGCCTTGCACAGACCGAAAGCAGCGGGCACACACAGCACAGTGCGCAGCACAGCAGGCATCCTGCACATAGACTTGCCGGGGCTCGGGAGGCTGAGGCTGAGGTGCGGAACAGCGCACACACACACACACACACACACACACACACACACACACACACACACACACACACACACACATGTACACACACACACACAAACACACACACACACATGTACGCACACACACACAAACACACACACACACATGTACGCACACATGTATGCACGCACGCACACACCCACGCACACACACACGCACACACACACGCACACACACACACACACACACACATACACACACACACACACACACACACACACACACACAACATGGATGGCCTTGTGCTCAACTTTTGTTGGCGGAAACTTCGGTGGTGTTTTCATGTTCTACAGGCTAGTCTGCTGAAAAATGAAATCTGGCAAGGCATAACCAAGGCCGATGACTCTCGCAAACAACAGGACGATGCAAAGGAGGCGGCAAACAGGAAGAGAAATGCGGTAGGTCAACATCATTGAATACATCTCCACCTCTTCACATCAAGAGTGTGCCTTAAAAAGAAAGATTCCTAAACTCCATTGAAGCCCTGATCTTGTTCTGTGTCAAAGCACTCGTATACTCTTAGAGCATTCTGCGACTGAAGTGCTAACAATGCTCTCCCCATGGCTGTGTTCTTTGATGATGTTGTCTTGCTTTGCAATGCACAGAGCACCGTCAGCTTGTTCAGTGGTCGGTCGAAGCAGAAAGAAAAGTACGTTGGCATCGTGGGATGGAGGTTTTGTGACCGGCTCTTTGTTATTACTCCCTGCCCCGTGCCATCCCCACACTCAGAGGATTGGCAAGAGAACTGACTGCATTTGGAAGTGACTATATTGAATTGAGGGAGACAACGAAGACACAGTTGGACATAGTGAACTCGAAACGAAGAGAAGACTCACTTTCCGTCCAACAGAAACACGGGCATGCGCCAGCAACACCTGCACATGACGCACACAACATGGCACACTACAACCGTACTATAGGCTATAGCTGGTCAGCCAAGAAAGTGTGTAACTCCAGCCTAGGCTCCTAGATGAGACATTTCCGGATATTCACCAGCACATATCTGCTCTGTCAGGCATGTACAGGACTGTAGTCCAGAGTGCTCTTCCTCCAATTAATGCTAAGATAATCATTCCATTCAGCCAACCACATTCCATATTTTCTCAAACATGTAATTGACCCTGTAGCCAGTTTGCAATTCTTTTAATAACCGCGCATATCGAAATTCTTTTCAATATCAGTACAATCTAGGAATATGAGGCTATCATCAGTCATGCAGAACAAAAGGGTCGCCGAAGTGTAGCTTGCTGGACATAATTGTTCATCGTTTGTTTTGACGCTACCGTCTGGCATTGTTATGTAGGTCTGATTCGCATTCGCCGATCAAGGAAGAAGCAGAACCGCTGTTACCAGATCCGAAGCTTGCCGTTCCGACCGTTGTTGTGGAGGTGGTGGACAAGGAAGGCGATAAGAAACCAGGGGAAAAGATGGTAAGGTTAAATTAAAGCTTTCAGGGCCATAATAGGGTAACTTGTGGTTCATTGGTATTTTCTTTTTCCTATAAATCCTTGGCTCTCCATCCGAGTCTTTTCGGTAAAGCTCAGCATATGATTGCTCCTTGGGAATAATTATCCTGTTGGGAAGATCTCCCGAGTAATGAAGGAAGCAATGCCGAAGTTCACTTGATATACCCGCTTGCTTACCACTTCATTAATGGACCTTCCACAGTCAGTTCCATGAAAACGCTTTCTGAGTGTAACCTTTGATATCCAAAAATGGATTCCTTTACTGTGATCGATCCCAGAATATTTGAATACTCTTTTTGTGTCACCCTCGCTCTCTCTACCTTCCACCAGGTGAATGTCAAGGAAAGAGCAGCAATCTTCAGCGAAAAGGAGAAGCAGGCAATGACGCCGTCCACCCTGCGCAGAGCTGTCCAGCCGTCGCCAGCCGTTATACGCAAGGGCGCAGGTTCCAGTACTCCGCAGGGCAATCGCAAGGCAGGTCTCTCAGCCGACTACATGACGCCGTCCGGCCTCACGTCCTCTCACTCGGATATGGATGACATCCGTGGCACGATAAAGGACCTTAGACTGCAGAGGGATACGGTATGTATTGGCTTTTCAGGGGGGGGGGGGTTATATTGATTATAAACTTTAACAAAATTAGGCAAAAAAGAGTAAACAGGGATACAGCGAACAAAGAAGAATCACAAATGATGTGGTGAAAGTCGAGTGACTGCACAACGCTACCACTGGGCTGTTTGAGCTCGAACTTTCAAGTGTAGCAATCTCTTGAAGGTTCATTTTGGTGGTGTGGAGTCCAGTACTTGACATAAAATTTCTGCTTCTTCACATGTTGTGTTCCAGGACCTGCTTAACCACACGCTGTATGACCTGGACATGTTCGTGGACAAGCTACGTGCAGCCATCAATGCTCGACGAGCCAAGTCCCAACTGAAGAAGAAGGTCAAGAAAAAGAAGAAGAAGAGAGGGAGAAGTGAGTTCTTTCATGCTCTACACAGCTCAGCTCAATTATGATATTGATAGAGGTTTGAAACTTGAGCCTTTGGTATTTGGTTCATTTGCGACGATTGCATAGAATTGATTGTGATTGAACACACCCGAAATCCAAGCACTAGAGGGATATGCCCGTATTTGCAGAGTCCTGATAAGACACTTTTGAGTGCATTCATTATTTTCTAATGACTGTATACTTCTATTTTGTGGCTTAAGTAACTTTATGTGACTGAGTGAAGTGTTGGTATGATTGGCAGATGACAGTTCTTCCGATGAGGAGGACAGCGATAAGCCATACATGCCCCACGAAGACTACATCGACTCGTATCAGAAACTGAAGTTGGCAATCAACCTCACGGTAAGCTCACTGCAACTTCAGAATTTGCTTTTCGCCGTATTGTCTTGACAGATTCTACAGATCCTGGATTTGTCTTTTGCAAATATCAGGCACTTTCCATGCATGAGAATGGTCTCCTTTAAACTAGCTGGAACATGCAGGAGAAGGGTACGGGAATGATTTTGGCATATGCCAGGCTGTAGGAAGACGGCTATGGTGTGCGGACATCAATGTGTTTGGTGTGTGTCACAAGTGACACGTGCTGCATGTAACAGCTGCAGTGAGACTAGTTGGCCGATCAAGCTTCACCGGTGAAAACAGTGAGGTAGATCCGGCTCCACAGTTCCATATTCTTTTCCATTGCGCGAAATCGCGCATCTATGAGCGACATCCACATAAACTGCTGGGACCATGGTTGTGTACTCGAATCTCATTCTGAGCACCCTTTTTTCTTCCTTTTTCAGCCGTTTTTTGCAAAAAGTCCTCGAGCTCGATTTTTTTTTGATCGATCGTTCTTCAAGGAAAGACGAGTGGACAATCGGTCAACAGGGCCGAGGACGAATGCGTCTGGTTGGAGTTCTTGCGTGGCACAGGATGACCAGACACACATATAGATACATTGCGACGATCTAATCTGCACAGTGTTTCCTAATACCGTACGCACGACGGTAAGTACAATTCATGTGATTTCAAATTGTTTGTGATCTACAACGTCGCGAGCAGGACGGAAATATAGCAACAGCACGACAACCGTTATACCAGGCAGTAACCAACAGTCACCTCCGTCACATTCTCCAGATCAGAAGGCAAGTGAGGCAGTGAACATGAAGAAATAAAGTATGAAAGAATGAAAAGTGAATAATTCAAAAATCTCAGAAACGTTGAACGTAAAAAACACTGAGAACAAGAAAAGTGACTTACTTCGATGGCAAAAGACAAAGCGAATGTTCCTCGTATGGACCTGGCTCTTGCGGAATCAGCCACACTGTGGAACCATGTGTTTGATTCCACAAGGGATGGCTACCTGCTCCTCACCAACCAGCCTCCACGACGGTGGTAAAGTCGCCAAAAATACGAAAGTTGAACATTTTGTGCATGCATGCAATAGAAAATTTGTGCTGAGTATGTCGAGTGGCCATTCGCATAGGACAAAGCCGTTGCGCAAGCTGTGACCCTGAAATTTCGTCCATTGGTAGCGAGGGTAACCCTGAGCTGGAAAGTGCAAGGGATGGCATGCTACACTCCCCCGCATACGCTTTACAGCACGATTTGAGGCGTGAAGTAGTAATATACCAGTATCTTACTACCCCCTGATACCTGATGCATGGACGTCGTCATCTTCATCCCGCAGATCGAAAATGTACAGGTGTCGCGTGATTTCGCGCAATGGCGTGTGTTCTGCTGCATGCCCACGTGCAACACATGTCCACGCATGTTGCCTGTTTCCTTCTCATTGCTCCCAGGCAAAGCTAGGCAAAGACATCCCAGAGACGACGCCTAAGGAAATGATTGAAGGCCTCTTCAACCTGCTGGTGGAGGTTATCAAGATTCATGGAACGTACGTTATACGTTACAGCAATGGCCTTGGGCATGGTCAATGGACATATCTCAGGAATGATAATGGATACATTGAAGTGATATATTGCAACAAAGGCATTGGGCATGGTCAATCGACACATAATAGAAATGGCATTGGGCAAGGCTAATGCTGGGTTAAGTTAGCTATCCGGCTTGCAGAAGTGAGATTCACTCAACTTGTCATTGTGGGCAGATACGCCAACCCCATCCCTGTCTGACAGATACGTGCCATAGACCTCCTCCCCATGCACAGTTATGAACACCTACCTTATGAAGCAAAGCCGCTTTTACCACACAGCCTAGTGTTCGTTATCCTAGGGCTGCAGAACCACAGAGTGGTTTTGCTCGTGTGGTTGGATTTCACGTGCATGAGAATCGTCAAGCACAAATCTGTAGAGTAATATGCTGCAATAAGCATCCTAGTGTAGACTAATTATTAGAAGTGTGTGTTCAGCAAATCATTTTCATGAAGTCTTGTTTTGTATGCTGTTCTTGCTTCAGACACGTACGTGTAATGTGTTTGTTTCACGCACTTGCTATCCATTTTCTTTACCAGGACTGACTATGCTGCAACTGTCAAGGAGCCACTGCTCACTAAGAAAGCTACGGAGCTGCTCATCCACTCTCTCAAGTTTGAGCACGAGGCAATGTGGCATAGACTGGGAATCAACTGGAGCATAACATTGTGAGCGATGTGACCGATTCCACTTGCGTGTAACCCGTTACTGTTGCAGGTGTTGTTGCTCACTGCCAGTACCGTTATGAGCATATGACACTACGTGTTCACCCGGCCATTAGAATTCCTTGTCATTAGTCACAGATGTTTAGGTAAGGCCTTAACATTGTTGCAGCATGCATACTCATACTGTCATAAACGGCTGTGTCTGTCCTTGCAGGGAGAAATGGCCCAAGAACCAGCTGATACCGGAGTACACACCACGATTTGCGGACGGTTGTACGCCGCCTGACCTTTGCAACAGCAACGTCGAGCAGTTGAAACAACTGCCGCCACCACCGCAGCCAGCTCACGAACAAAGCTCCCAGCAGTCACGCATTGTGGCACTCCGTGACGAGATGGACCAGAACTTCAGTGCAGCAAGCTTTTCAAGTTCACTACTCCGTGATGGTAAGTTGAGTTTGCTGCTCGGTGCTGGTAGCTAGGTTGGGTTTACCGCTCAGTGATAGAAGATGGAGCCTGACTTTTGCAAAAGAATAAATTAGCGAGAACGGTTGTGCGACACCCACATACATGTCTCCTTTCACTTTACATATTTGAGGGATTGGGCAACCTTTGTGGCTACCGAATGTCACCTTTATTTACGCCGTGGAGGTTAATACTTCGCTTATCTCTATCTAAGTGTCATACGCTCGAAGCTCAGTACCGTGGAGAACTGGCCCTACAACCCTGTTTCAAGTGCAGTAAAATGGCTACCAGTACAGTTGAACATCGATTATCCGACCACCTCTGGGCAGACAACTGTCAGGCGGTGTTCAGATAAGGCAAATGTTGGTCTCAAGCGGGCTTTCTCATAATACGAGTGCATGCAGTGAAGATGCACTCTCACTTGTTTTGCATTCCTGTTGCCTGTACTGTATGATTTCTTGCTAGTAATATAAAAGAAACAACAAACTGTAAATGTCCCCTGCAGTTACACAACATTTTTTGATGTGTGCTGTGCTTATCAATGTGCCCAGGAGATACTGCTGTTCTGCCAAGTATCAGTGAACTCGAAGCAGCAGAGCAGGAGGCAGCCCGGTTGGGCGGTACGACCGTCATCCATTTCCTGCACGTGGTAATACTTGGTGCGGCACGCGTTGGAAAGACCAGCTTGCTGAAGGCGTTGCTTGAGAAGATGCACAATGAGAATGAACTCAGCACACCCGGCATGCGCACGTCCTACGCAACTACAAACATCTCTGATGACTGTCGATTCATCGAATGCCCAGACATGCCAGATGCTCTGAGTCGACTCTACGTCATCACCATGATGTGCAAACCATCCACTTCGAATCATCCCCAAGACAAAGAGACAACACAAGATGACAGAGAGAGAGCCCCAGCAGGAGAGGATCCTGTGGCTGGGACCCATGCAGGACCTATGGAGGTCAGCAGTAGCAGCAGCAGCAGCAACGGGCCAGCAATGCGCGAGGAAATCAACGAGACCATCACAGGATTTCTCAACGCAGACCGGGTAAAGTACATCTCTGGCCGGGCCAACACGCCCAACTATACCGTCATCACATTCCGCGACCTTGGAGGGCAGCAAGTCTACCAATCCGTGCAGCCCCTCTTCATGGCCAAAAACACAGCCTTCATTGCCACATACAACTCTTCTCTGGACCTTCTAGAGACCCTTCCCAAGTTCGATGAATTTCAGGTCAGCCGGGAAGAATGTATCGAGCGGGCCACTCTACCGGCCAATGCGACTCGCCTAGACCAGCTGCTCGGCTGGCTCGACATGCTGCTGCTGAATGCAAAAGCTGACAGCAGCACAGACCAGAGTGCTGCAGATGATGTGTTTGTAGTGGGGTGTCAGAGTGACAGGTGGAACAAAACCGATTTGCCTGATCCTTGTAAGCTACTTCAAGAGAAGATAAAAGGTACCCCGTACCAGAACCTTGTCTGGAACGACACTTCGCACTTCAAAATCGACAACACCAGATCCACTGGAAGTGCAGCACAAGCAGATGAGCTGCAGCGATTGAGAGAGGCCGTCATCGACCGCTGCCAGAAGAGCCAACGTAACATCCCTGTTCCATGGCTCCGATTCTGCATATCCATACACATGCTCAAGCAGGAGGTCACTTGGCCTTGGATTTCCTTCAAGGAGGCAAAGTTCATAGCGAAGCAAGTCAAGGCTGTTCCACATGACTGCAGTGACCGGCAAATACAGCTGCTGCTGAAGTACTGCCACGAAGCAGGCCACCTGGCGTACTTCCCAACTTTCAAGCTGAAAGACACGGTCATCCTGGAGCCCCAGTTCATCCTGGACTGTGTCAATGCCTTTGTCTACATGAAGCCTGACCGAGACATCACAGTGCACGAAGCGTGGTGCTATCGTTCTGGGTTCATGACGGAGTCCCTGGCACGCAAAGCTCTCAACAAGATGTTCGAGGGTCAGTCTTACTGCGACCATGCTAAGGCGTGGCAAGCAGTCAGAGCAAGCAGTGATGGGTTCAAGCTCATTTTTGAAATCTTAGAATGGCTCTCAGTCCTGGTAATTGTGCAGGATGAGAGGTCTGCTGAGCACGAGTTTATTGTACCTGCAGTCGTCCAGGACATGGGCACGGTCCCGCAGGCGCCTTGTTCCTGTGCCTATGTGTCCTTGAAGCACACAAACCGAGATGAGTTGATGCACTTTCCCGTGTTCCTGTACTGGCAATGCGTGGTGGAGGTGCTGCTTAAGTCACACAAGCGCTCGTCTGCCACGCTGTCACGGTGCAGCGTTCGCCTTCGCTGGAACAGCGATTGGCCGTGGCTGCACCTGCACTATACACGCTACGGCTTACAAGTGTACCTCGAATGCAAGGGCCGACACGGCGGTAGCGGAAAGTCTACACTGGATGAAGTCCGGGCAATCGTGCTCACAGTGGTACGGAAGTGGGGCCTGCAGGTCGAAGTGATCAGCACATTGACATGCCCCTGCGGAGAAACATCGGGCAAGGAGTGTTTACAGCATGGCTTATCTACGTGCCGCGCGCCAAGCTGTGCACACGCTTTGGACGCTTCCACCCTAGTGGCTGAAGACTACCCACTGTGTACACGTTCAAAGCAGGATATACAGATGATCCGTGAGCAGGCCATGTTCTGGCTGGGCCTTGACCAGGTGAGAGACTTGACCTGATTGAATTCCCGCAGCTATGCAAAAGACGTCACGTTAGTAGCGCCTGCCGCTAGCTTTAGTTCATATGTTTTTGTGGGGAGGGGGGGGGGGGGGAGGGCTCGAACCATGAGACAAGTTCCACCAGGCCTTGTTGTAATTCTGTTTATCTCTGTTCAGGACGAGAGTTCTTCACACATAAAGTTGCACCATGTCTCTATTTTCTTAAAACTTGCCACGTATTCCCGTCATGTTAATGAGAAGATAACCATTTTGAGCCTACTCTGACTTCAGCGATTATGGCTTGTGTGTGTGCGTGTTTGCATGCATGTATGCTTTTGCTCGTGTGGATTGTATGTGTGTGTGTGTGTGCGTGTGGGTGTGTGCGTGCGGGTGGGCGTGTGTGTGTGTGCGTGTGTGTGCATGAGTGCGGGTGTGTGTGTGTGTGCGTGTGGGCGTGTGGGCGTGGACATGTGCTTGCGTTTACTTGGTCTCTTGCAATACCTGCAGGATGCATGTGGAAAGCTGTTTGACCCGAGATCGGCCTCTCTTCCTTCAGGTTAGTTGGATGCACAATACAAACAGATCTGGTAGTTCCAAATGATGTTTTGCATGATGGCCGCATTCGCATTCAACCTTTAGTCGCAAGGAAACCGGTACGCTTTTCTATTTTCGAGGTAGCTATTCCCGTTCGGGTATTGAACACTGCATGAGCACAGGACCATATCTGCTGTGGATAGAATGCAAAATTTGAGCCTCTTCTCACCGCAAGCTGGTGTTTGATCCCAGCCAACACTGCAGTTCTGACTCTGTTTTGGGCCCTGGACAACTGACATTACATTGTCATAGAATTGCTAAGGGGTCGCTGTCATATTTTGTCGCCCTGAAGCGAACATCGTCCGTGGCAGAGGAGGAGGAGGAGGGTGGGAGGTCGAAAATCGTAACTTGCTCAACAATGCACTACGTGTACATGCACTTGATTTATGGTGTCCAGCATTGCAAACTGTGTTCATTTTGGAGGAGTGAGGGGTCCGTCCGAGTACGAAATGAACCATGTTCATTTCAGTGGCGACAATAAACTTCTGCAACAAACCGTGTGTGCGTGTATACGTTGCATCTGCATGTGTGTCCCATATGGTGCAGTGGTATGTGCAGCGATTTCCAATCGATAGGTTGCGGGTTCGATTCCCGACGATTATGGTCACACACGTCTTTCTTCTCTTTCTCAGACTCGTCCTGACTTTTCTTTCATTCTCCTGGGTGGTTACCAACAGCCAGTGCATGCCGGAGTATGTGGTGTGATGTGTGAGCGGGAAAAAAAAGAAAAAAAAGAAAAAAAAAGACCAAAAATAGGGATTCACTGGCCAGAAAAAGTCACTTCAAATAGCTGTATGGTGTAGACCAGGCTGAATAGTGATGGTCAATTCTTCAGCCTTGCAAGCTGTTGAATGGTGCAATCCCAGCACAAGTTGCTATGGCTTCTGCCGTAGCATTGCTATCATCGCCTCCGGCGATGGGCGTCAAAGGTCAAGGTGTGTGTGTGCGTGTGTGTGTGCGTGCGTGCGTTTGTGTGTGTGTTTGTGTGTGTGTGTGTGTGTGTGCGTGCATGGTGCGTGCGCGCGTGCGTGCGCGCGTGCGTGCGCGCGTGTGTGTGCGGAGGTGTGTGCGTGCGTGTGTGTGGGTGCGTGCGTGCGTGCATGCACGCGCGTGCGTGTGTGTGCGTGTGCATGTCTCTTGGCCACTCCAATGGCACGTCGTCTGTTGCCATGCAGCAGAAGCCTGTGCCAGTGTGGACAGTAGAAGCGGTGGTCACGGTGCTCCAGGAAGCGGTCATCACAGCGCTGATGGAAGCGGTGTTCAGGACTCTGAATTCATGTCACTTGGTGCCATTGGGTTAGTGAAGGCTTTCCTCGCAGGTTTATAAAGAGGTCAAATACGTTGCCTTGGAGCTGACCAATCAGCCGCTTTCATTAACGAAGCGTTCGGGGTATGTGAAACACTGACAACACGCTGCCTGCACATTTAGTGAGAGGTCTGTTTGATCACATAATGCTGCATCGCATTTCAAGGCTCTACGGTCCACCGAGGTGTGATTCTACTGTCCCCGGGGGGGGGGGGGGGGGGGGGGATGGCAGGCACTGTGACCTGGGGGTGGGGGTGGTGGCAGACACTGTCCACGGGGGGTGGGGGCATACTGTCCAATGGGTGGGGGTGGGGACTCTTCCGTGTCCACTGGAGGAAGGGGCTCTACTGTCCACCGAGGGAAGCTCTACTGTTACGACCCTACATAGAACGTGGACCTGTTTCTAGTTTTTTCGTTTTGTTTTGTGCTGTTTTGTTCTGTATACCACTCTACCCTGCAGTGGAAAGACACTTGATCAGATTGCCGACTGGCATGCGATTGTTAGCTCGATTGAACCGTTCATCGGTGGAGAGGAGGAAGGCGACGAGAGAGGTTGGTTGCTTTTGGACACCGTGATTCATGATTGTGTATTTCAATAATGCCGGGTGGTGAATACATTTTCTCCAGCAAGGACACGGCAGAGTTTTAGCCGTGTGTATGTAGCGAATTATGAGTAAACATAGTTTGAAGTAGGTCTGGAGTCAACCTTATTCTCTGGGAGTGTAGGAGCCGTTCGATTGCGGGCGAATTTCGGAGAAAATGAGCGTGAGGCTGGTGGCCTAAATTTCCTTTGTATTTGAACATTCTCGGTGACGTCCAAATATACTAATTGTGTGGTTCAACCAAGTGAAAATATCTTCAGAGCTAGTGAGTGCCCCTGAGCTGCTTGAATTGTTTTGCAATACCCTCTTGTCACTGTATGCACGTGTATGTGTAGACTTTGATGAGGAGGTGATGTCCTTGTACATTGTATTTTAACCAGTGTTCTTATTGAAGTCATGTCCCCTAAAAGTGGTACTGTCTCCTGAGTACCTTTTTTAGTTTTGTTTTTACTGCCACGGTTGCCTTGGCAACCCATCAAGTGCAGCATCAGCTGCAATGGGCATACATAACCAAGTCGACTCCACTGCTTGATGCAGTTTGTTGTCAATTTGTTGTGTGCACTGGTGTTCTACCTCTGCCGATCATGACTGGGGAACGGCTAAGCACACCTGCGCAATCTTACTTCCTCCGTATACAAAAACTTCGTGACTTTTTTTGAAAGCTACGCACAGCTCTGGAATTGTTCCGTTTGACTCGGAATAACACTTGTGGCATTGTCTAACCTGTTTACAAGCTATATACAAAGAAAAAAGAAACTCAGACGAATGAGATTGAGTTTTTTCAGAGTCTTCGTCGCTCATGTCATTGTCACCTGACGACGCCGGCTCCGCATCGCCAACAGTCGCTGCTTCCGCTCGCATTTCGTTCAGATTCTTGTCACCTGCAGTGATGATCCGACGCTGGACTTTGGCTACGTCCTCTTCATCTCTAGAGCTGTGTACGAACCGGTGTCGACTATACTCTGTTGTTCCAACCCGCGACCTCCATTATGCCGTGAAACGAGTCGTACAAGCACATCAACACGCTTCGCATTTTCTCGCCAGGATAATCCTCCCAAGCATCCTACTATGGCTTCGAGGAGGTCCCTGCGATTCCCCTTGGCGACAAAGGAGACGTCTGACTGGAGACAGGCGAAGAAAGCCAGGCCATCGACATTCTGATCCTGAGTCTGCACTGGTTGCACGACGACTGAAATGTTTCATCTTGCCGTGGGAGCGAAACAAATCATTCTATGTTCTCACGCTGCGTAGATCTATGGGGCCGCGCACCGCAAGTACGAGCCTGGACAGTTTCAGGGCAGTGAGTGCCGCGTGACTCCGTGTTCCAGCCACGAGCTACACTTCGTCACTGTGTCAGTTTCGAGCAAGTAAGTGTTAGTTTTTTTTCATTTGACTAGTTTCTGTCGGCAACGTCCTCACACGCATGGCGTCCGTGGAGAATCTGTTCGGGATCAACCAAACTAACCTCGACATGGACGTGGGTTGTCGATTTGAGCCTTTGGCGCCGTTCGTTGAGCAGGTTCTTGCTCAAAAACACCGTTCAAAAAGTCACGAAGTTTTTGTATACGGAGGAAGTATAATTACTCAATCTGCGGACAGCATGCTGTTTCGTTCTTTTTGAACTCATCAGCGCAGCACAGAGGAAATGAGGCCGAACATGAGCTGATAGCAATGGAAATAAAAATTTCCAATCAGGCCCGAACGTACCTTGCCAGAGTGCTCAAACTGACAAGTCAGTGAGCTCTGCATAACGCAAACAGCAAAGGCACTACCCCACGCAAGAGTGCTCAACTGCTACAAGAGCAGGAGCGAAATACTCAATCTGCGGACAGCATGCTGTTTCGTTCTTTTTGAACTCATCAGCGCAGCACAGAGGAAATGAGGCCGAACATGAGCTGATAGCAATGGAAATAAAAATTTCCAATCAGGCCCGAACGGAAGTATAATTATGTTTACGTAATGAAGCTGTAAGAAAGTTGGTTGCTCCCACACTGCAACTCGCGCTATTGCCGTCGACCTGACTTGACACTTGACTGACTCACGGTTGACTGTTTCAGTGTGGGAGCAACTAACTTTCTTATACAATTATCACCAAGGTCGCTGCCACGCTTTCGTGTTAAATGAAGCTCATTGTTCTTAAATGAAGCTGGTTGTTCTTAAATGAAGCTGGTTGTTCTTCAGTGTAGCACATGCATCCACACAATCCACACCGTCCAAATGAAAACTAGGGAATTTTAGAAACGAACGTTTTCGTTCCCTTCTCTTCATGGTCTCTTACATGGAGCAAAGCAAAAATAACTAAGACAGCAATTCTATGGGCAAAGAAGTGAGGGAGATAAACATCAGGCTAGAAGGGCGAAAAGTCAGCAGCTAAAAAACAGTGTCATTGTTCTTTTCTGCCCTTTCTTCTGGTGATGTTGTAGCAAACTGCGGTAAGGCGGCTGTGCAGCTAGTGGCTCCAGAATACACAAACTACTACCGCAACGTGCTGAAGTCGTTTCACGAAATGAAGAAAGGTAACATCGGAGGCCCAGGCAAAGGAGAGAACAACCTCTTCTGTATCTTGCTGTATCTGATGCAACGTCCGAGCACAACCGTCCAAGAGCTGTTTAACCTGCTGGCTGATAATGCCAAGCATAGCCGGCGCCATCTTTTCACAGCAATCAAGTGAGTTGCAGGCTGTGTGCGTGTGGGGGGGGGGGAGTGCCGGGGATAGTTTAGTGTGTGTGTGTGTGTGTGTATGCATGTGTGTGTGCAAGTGTGTGTGTGTGTGTGTGTGTGTGTGTGTGTGTGTGTGCATGTGTGTGTGCAAGTGTGTGTGCAAGTGTGTGTGTGTGTGTGTGTGTGTGTGTGTGTGTGTGTGTGTGTGCATGTGTGTGTGCAAGTGTGCGTGCAAGTGTGTGTGTGTGTGTGTGTGTGTGTGTGTGTGTGTGTGTGTGTGTGTGTGTGTGTGTGTGTCCCATATGGTGCAGTGGTATGTGCAGTTGATTTCCAATCGAGAGGTTGCGGGTTCAATTCCCGACGATTATGGTCGCACACGTCTTTCTTCTCTTTCTCGGGCTCTTCCTGACTTTTCTTTCATTCTCCTGGGTGGTTACCAACAGCCAGTGCATGCCGGAGTATGTGATGTGGTGTGTGTGTGTGTAGAAAAAAAATGGAAAAATGAAAAATAGGGATTCACTGGCCAGAAAAAGTCACTTCAAACAGCTGTGTGGTGGATATCAGGCTAAAAATAGTGGCGGTCACTTCATCAGCCTTGCAAGCTGTTGAATGATGTAATCCCAGCACAAGTTTCTATGTCTAATATAGCTGTTCGCTATCATCGCTTCCACGATGGGCATGTCTGAGGTCTGAGGCGAGAGTGGCGGGGATAATTTAGTGATTTGCAGTGGAAGAAGGTCCAGGCATCAGATCATGTTACCATGGTTTCAGCACACCTGTGTATAAATATCACCTGTGTTTTAAAGGGGAAGTTAAGGCAAAAATTAAAATTTCACCAGTTGTAGTCTTCGGGGTGCTGAGTCGAATGGTCTTGGTCCGAGGAAGCTGAGACGCTCCCTTCCTACTTGAATCCCAATCGAACTCGCGCACTTCCACCGAAACTGGGTGACTGCGCCCTACGAGATGGGGATTTGTATGCAAAATGTCACTAAAAGCGCCATTTCGTTCTTATAAAAGCACGGATGACCGCGATTGGGCCATATGTTGTAGTATTTTGGACGCTGAGTCGACTGGTTTTGGTCCGAAAAGGCTGCGAAGCGGCGTTCCTCCTTTATTCCCAATCGAACATGGTTGAACAAGCGGTCACGTGCTCCTGCGTACACCAGTCACCTGGTCACCGTGCCTGCAGGGTACAACTTACTAGCCTGTTTGACCTTTTTTTGGATGCACTCCTGTCACTCGAGTTGAACTCGAGTTGAACCTTGGTGTGAAATTTTACAGTAACAAGTGAACTGTTGAGCTACAAGAAAAGTTAGCCTAGTTCTATTAGAAACGTGTGTGTGTGTGTTGCAGCTGTGCTCCGTCTCTGTCTTTCATCCGGGTCTCTGCTCATCCATTGTGCACTGTACCATGACAATGAGAAGTTCACTCTGCTGCTGTTTGACCTGTATTGTGTTTGTTTGCCAGGAATGCCAAGTACTTGAAACAATAAGCAGGAGATGAGGCCTTGTCCAGAGATGGCAGGGGGGGGGGGGCAAGCGTCTGCTCTCCGACCCCCAGCAGCTCAGTGCCTCGGCCGGATCAGATTAGCAGCCTGGCCGCCCTCCGGTCAGCGTCGTGGAGCCTGATGTCTTCTTGTGACCGGAGCGTTCGTCCTAGGCATCATGGGCGCTGTGTGTTTTCATTGCCAGTTGGCCTGTGTTACTGTGATCAGCCCGTGTCATTTTCCTTCATCATGAATTTACACATAGCAGTGATGTTTCTAATGTCTTGAAGTACACTTGAAACTCACATGCTATTTACTTTGAATTGCAGCTAGTAAATTTTGAAAAAAACTACGACTTTTCAATACAAGGCAGACAATTAGGGAAGTTTTTGAAGCTCCTCTCATTCCTGCCATGAATGCAATAAGAATATTAATTTCAAGACACGCTTGCGTTAGCCTTTACTGAAACTTGACTAACGATATTGAGATCACCATGCCTCTGTGCATTGAGCCAATCCACATTGATTTCATAGAAGCATAACCTATATCTTTGCAAACTTGATTTTTGTATCCAAATTCAAGACTGAAGATCTTACCAGAACTTAGTAGTAGAAGGCGGTAAATGCGTTGAAATAGGCTGGGAATTTCTCGGTTCTATGCTAGTAAATACAAATGACATTGCATTACTCTTTTTGCTGTCATCGGCTGACTGCTGATGAGATATAACAAGGTGGAAACAGCTGGCTGTCTGAGATTTGAGTATGTTTTGTTTGTTTAAATTGTTGAACACCTCCCTTTGGTGT